ATTGCTAGTAATTCTGGGACAAGTTCTTAAAGAATTTAAATTTGAACCTCTTTCTCAGCTACATATAGTTATTCTAGAAAGATAAAATTAAAATACCATTTAGACAGTGGTGTAGGACAAAACTACTAGAAAGATTCCATCATTTTACTCCCCCTTCTCTTAGAGTTACTGGGCTTTCCCCTGACTTGCTGAAACACAAAAGAAATACCCAAATACATAGCTTGTAAATGCTGCCCATTCTTACTAGTTTGTTACCCAGTGGGATGCCAGAGAACTGGGTTGTGACCACTGGAATCGAAGAGGGAAGTTCTGAAGTTTCTGCCATGTGCTTCTGAATCAGAATTAGAAATCAGACAAGTGTATACAAGCGTACCCAGTATGGTGGGAGTGTTTTGCTATGAGCAGGTCAAAGTATGTTGTAGAAATGGTCCCCTCCTGCTATCCCCCCAAGGAGTGCCTAGTCCCACCCCAGGGGGAGAGTCAGCCAGGGGCGTTCCTGCTCTAAGACAACCAGCTCCCTTCTGCAATCAGGACACCAAATGTCGCCTTCCCAAAGAAACTTTATTTCTCACATAGCTGAAGTGCAAAACAGAAGTAACCATTTTTAATAAGCACAATCAAGTTTTAAACCACAGAATGTCTACAAGAATTATAGCTTTAAAAAATACAACCAACTCTTATATTTCAAAAATATCTGAACTCAAATAAATTAATTTCTTAAAAAGTACACTTCTCATACTATTTGTTTGGCATTTACTCTGGTTAAACTCTTGTGTAGCAACCCCCGTGCGAGGCCACCACCTGTGTGGGCTGCACTCCTGCACCATCCACCCAGACTGCAGCCCACATGGTGGTCAGGGTCACATTCACAGACATGGACAGGAACATGCAGTAATAAAATAGCTTTTTAAAAAATAACAAGTACGAATTCTTCACAGACTATGCTTTTCACTGCAAATATCTCAATCCAACCCGTGACTCCAGGTACCAGTGTTGGACAGTCTGAGTGAGGCACCCTGTGGTCCAGGCTGTGGCTCCTACAGCCTGGGGTCCAGCACGTTGTTCACTCGGTTGTGGGTGGGGACAGCTGCTGCAGTCTCCATGGCATGTGGGCTACGCAACAGTCCCATCTCTGCTTCCAATTTGGGAGCTGTTACGGTGCCAAAGTGGTCTTAAATTCAGAGAAGTGACCCCACCAGCTGAAGACAGACATCTCCAAGACCCTGTGTGTGGCATCCACTTCAGAGCTGAACTCCCAGGACACTGGGCCCCACACCTGCAGATTAATCTGGCAGTGCTCACTCCCCTCCCCAACCTCACCCACTCCTACCTCCCCCTTTCCAAAGCTTCAACCAAGCCTTAGTAAGTTAAGGCCAGATTAGCTCAGTGCTTGGAGAATGGGCTCAGGAAAACTTAGTGACCAACCTTATCAGCTGAGATTGGTTTTGCTTTCCAAACCAAAGTAGAAACTTGATGCTTTAAAGATTTCCAGTTTTTCACTTTCTATCACAGTATTGGGGCAAAGCCAGAAAGCTGGCTGGTATGCTTCAGAGCACAAACCAGGGCACTGTCTTCTGAGCTTTTTAGGGAGGTGGGGGAGGTAAAGGAGACTGGAAGAAACCTGACTGCCCACTGTGGGGGCTGTTCTTGTGAAGGCCTTGCACACCTACTGGTAAGTGCCCCACTGGGTGAGTCAGTGTTACCAGCTATGCAGATGAAGACAAGACAGAGCAGCATGGAACAGGACCCACACGCCATAGGCGTGGGTATGGGGGGCAGGTGTCAGCATTGGCTGGGGGGCAGCAGCACACATGATGGATGGTCAATGTGCAAGGGGCTGCTCTTGGCCTCCAAACCACATGGCTCCAGTGAAGCAGCCCCAGCACTTAGGGTGAAATTGACTGGCCTTCCTAGGACTTTGAAATGGGGCTTATTTGTGTGGGGTTTGAAATCTACTATACTTTGAATACAGCAACTGATCTGAAGCAAAGTAGTTAAAGCTAGATGGGGAATGACAAGTAAGCCATCGTGGTCCATCTCCAAGTTCTGGAGCAATAAGTGTAACTTCAGCCATTGTAGTCAATTAAGGAAAAGTCACAATTTCTAAAATCCAAAGGTTCCACTGGAGGAGCAAGGTTCCTAGGGAAACGGTGAGGCGTGAGGCGGCAGCTGCGGTCCTGGCCAGCTGCTGCTGCTGCACTTAGACTGCTTTAAGTGGGGAGAGGATAATGGACAGGCAGTGAAGTTGAAACAAACTTCAAACAACCAAAGTTTCAGTACCTGGGCCCTCAAAGTGATAGTTAAAACTGAAGAAGTAATCTATTTTCTGGGAAGTGTTGTTTTCAAATATTTTATTAAAACTATTAACCTTTTACTAGTGGAATATCTCAAGTGAAAATTCTTGAGTAGTTTAGTCCCACTGCACAGGTCTCCCCACCACTGAGGTTTATACATGTGAGACTTCTAGGAGGTTCGAGTTTCCAGAAGTGGAGAGGGGACTAAAAAGGGGCAGGGCTTCACAGTGTTACCTGCCTCTGCCTAAACTATGACTCAACCCCAGAACCAATTTAAGATCCCTTTGAAAGGACACATACCTTGCATCAAGTAATCCTTTGAAACTTCCACATTGAAAAGTCAGTTTTTAACCAAAATCTAAATCCTGGAGTTCAAACCCTAGTCACTGAGGCCATCTTTACTACCTCGGGGGCGATGTGCCCATTTGCCATTTCTGTGGCTGTCCCATGGGCCAGTCTGCTCTGTTCAATCCCTACTGGTCTCTTGCCTGAGTCCTCAGGATCTTCTGAACTGCCCTGGAGACCAAGCACCAGGCAAATACCCCTAAGCAGACTTCCACTTAAGACCAATGGAGTGCACAGCTTTAGCTTCTTGAAGGCCAAGTATGGCTGCAGTTCAGCATCTGCCCGATACTCATCTTCCACCTCTCAGTTTCCTAGGTGAAGACAGTATTAGCTGTGAGCTTCCATGCTGGTGTTACACACAGCAACACAATAGTGGTAGTGCCAAGGACCACCTTCCAGCTGTCATTCAGCTCTACAGGCCTTCCTTCCCTTCAAGACAAAAATGTTGCAGTCATGTCCTTGGAGGCATAAGGCAGCAATTAGCCACCCAGCTGGAAAACAAAGCAGCATGTAGAACATGAAGGGAGTGGTAACAAATGTGGCAGCCCACAGAAACAGGCTTCCCAGGCAGCCTGTGTCGCGCACAAAAGAATATTTTGCATTTAAAAGCTATCAAGCCTTTCCTGACGACGCTTCCATCTGTAAACACGTGCAACAGGCACAGGTATAAAGAGAACTGATGAGATGCAGGCAGTGCCACCTGCCACAAAAGGTTCTTGGTCACAGCCTCAGGAGCAAAATCACGCACCCTCTGACAGGACAAGGACCCCAACTGGAAGCCAATGGCCAGAGCCAAGGGGCCAGATCCTTGTGCCAAGGAAGGGCCCATAGGAGTGATGTGATGCCAGCCCTCTTTGGACACTTTTGGCTTCCACCAGGGGTCTCTACCCCTTCCACAAGAAGGGAAGCTGGCTCCCTCCCCACATGTCTCCAATGGTGTGCCACAAGCTAACAGGCAGACCAGGCCTCAGTAGCAGGACCCAACAGATGCACACACACGTGGCTGATTCAGGTCCACTTTATCACAATATTCATATAACAAGCAGTAATACCCAGAGTTTTCCCCACCTAGGAAACAAAACAGCTTTAAAAATAAAGGTATAAAATTTTCAAGGTTGCAAGAAACCCTTCACCTACTAACCAGTGGCAACTGTGTAAGGAGCCTCAGGGAGGCTGGGGGATCACCATCAGTGGGACAGGCAGTAGGTGACCAGACTGCACCTCCTTTCCAGTCTTGAACTCATTCCTCAAAGGGGGGCTCACCCGGGGACAGTTGTGAGCTGTGGTGACAGAGGCATGCAAAACCTCCCGGGGCAGATCCACGGAGACAGCCCCGTCGCCATGCCCATGAGACCCTGTGAGAGGTAGTGAGGTGGTTGCAAAGCTCTGCTGTGAGTGAAGACTGGAGTGTGACCTGTGCCACGTCCCAGCCTGTCTGCACACCTTCCCCAAGGAGACAGAGTTGTTGGGCAGCCCCAGGACAGCTGCTGGGACTCCCCTCCTGCACAGTGGAGATGGCCTCACGGCCCACGGCCCTGCTATCTGCTGAGCTCTCCAGCTCCATGGTGGTCCTCGCCACTGGTGTTGGCCGTATGGTGCCCACTTCTCATCTGGGACAAATGACCATGCTGCTCATCCCTGCCAACTGTGGGGAGTGGCTTCCAAGTCCTGTTCACAGGCATGGCTCTCCCTGGTGAGGAGGCAAGGACGGGGACAGGGCGCTGCTCCAGCTCTATGCTGCCCTGGCACCTAGAAGATGGTGTGTTTCCACTCCCCAGCCGCAGCAGTGCTTGCTCCCTCCACCTCACTTGTTCAGGGGCCTTCTGTGGGATAATGGGTTCCAGGAGGCCAAATAAAGGGCCACAGCTGGGGTCTGAATGAGCAATGGATGTCCTGTTGTCCCTGTCTTTCACCAAGTCATCACAGGTAATGGCTGTCTTCCTTGCTGATTTTGCCACTCGCGTATCTGGCAAGGCTGAAGGTGGCCAGTGTGCTCCTCCCATCTGGGTTTTGGCCTTCCCACCCCTCACACCACTGCACTGAGGGACTGGTGGCTTCTACCCTGGCTGCCAGTCTTTGGAAAGTCTAGACCCCCTACCTCCCCTGTCCAGGGACCACACTTCACCAGAAAGCTGACAGCAGCTGGTACTGTCCTTCCAGGCACCTTCAGAGAGAGCCAGGCTCCCACCTCTGTCCAAGTCCAACCAGCAAGCTGCCTGGAGCCATATCGGGACCACAACCACCACTTTGGTTTTCTTCCCACTGGCAACAGAAGCCTAAACAGTCCAGCTCAGGCAAATGTTGGGTCATGCCAGTCCCTCCCCTCCCTGTACCCTGAGTCACAGGTCTTGGTCACAGTGGCTGGGACCAACCTCAGATTTTGTATAAAAAGCTGGGGACATAGTCAAACCTGAGCATGGGGCGGCTGGTCCCGGGAGACTCCTGCATGTAGTGCAGCTTCAGCAGCTCAGCCAGGTACTGGACCACCCTGATATCTTCATTCACCAGACCCAGATTCAGCTTTAGGAAGCTCGCTTGGCGACTGGCAAGCAGTTCCTCTGCCTCCTTATCATGGGGAGGCAGGTGCAGGTGGTGGCAAAAGGTGTAGAGGAAGGCCTTGGAGCAGAGCTGGGTGAGCATGCTCTGGACGTGCAGATAGTAGGTGCTGCCCCGCTTGATCTGAGTGCGGTGGTCAGCCAGGCGGGGCACGAGAGTGCCTCTGTAGAGGGGACAGCGCAGGGTTTTGTTGTCCAGGTCCAGGATGCTCGTGTAGCGGCTATAGCGGCCCAGGGCATGGAGGGTGCTGGCATTGGCAGGGGAGGCCACTCTGAAAGAGACAGGGCAAGGTCAGGAGGGAGGGCAAAGGCTAAGAAGACAGAGGCAGAAGACCAGGGGCCAGCTCCCACCCAGCCAGCATGTACTGGCTCTTTCTGGAGGGCGAATCTGATCATTATGATCTTTGAAGGGCTCCTCACCACCCTCACGACCAAATTCAAATGCCTTGGCTTGGCTCAAAGGCCCTCTGGATTCCTCGGAAGTCTCATCTATTACTCCCCTGAATGGACTCTCTGGCGCCATGCCAAGCTTCCAGTGGGGCCTCAAAATTCCCAACCTGTTGCTTGGCCTGGAATACCCGTCTCTCCCTTTTGTACTTGGCTCACACCAATGTAAACTTCATTCAGCCTTCCCTGTCCCCCTCTTCTGCCTGCGTGCTGTGGCCGTGGTCAAGCTCCTTCACCTCTCCGAGCCTCACCTGTAGATGGTGACAACAGTTCTGCTATTATGCTCCCGCTGGGGCCTCTGCGGGGACCGAACTGTGCTCAGTACAGAGCTAGCCCTCGGTACGTGCTGCCACCACCATCACCACTACTTCCAGCCTAGCACTGGCCAGTGTGGTGACTGCTCTTTGTTTACTCATTTCTCCTAGTGGACAAGGAGCTTCAAGATCCTAGAGACCCAGGACTGCTTCTGGTTTGTTCTCACACCCCCGCTGCCCAGCCCATCAGAGGCAGGAAGTGTCTGTTCCGTGAGGGAAGCTGCTCCTTACAACCCTCCTCTAGAGCAGTCTTCCCAGAGAAGCAGGGTTACCCTAGAGGGCCTGGCAAATGGCTGGCTGACTAGCGGCGCTACAGACATACCTCTGACATTCAGGGCTTGTGTTAGACATAGGTACTGTGTAAAAAGGACTGACAGTCACTTGGGATCAAGGTAAGCTCACGGTATCTTTTCCTTCCTGCATTTTGTTCTCTCCTTGTGTATTTAACAATCATTTATTGAGCATCTATTATGTACCTGTCACTGGCCTGGGAGCTGAGACTGTAATGAAGAATGACCTGGAAATCTTGTCCTGTATGAGCTCGGTTTGACAGGGAAGAAAAGACATGCACACAAGTACAGTGAGGTGAAGGGAGACATGGTCTTGGTTCCCACAGGAGAGGCCCGTGGTTGGGAAGATGTGTGTGTGGGGGGGTGGTCATGAAGGAGTGGCCTCAGAGTTGTGTCTTCCTTGGAAACCGCAGAAGGCATGGCAACCTATGACAACAGCCAGGTCATAGAGATGGGACAACTGAGACTCCCCACAGTCCATGTGTCCTGATCCCTAAGGAGACAGCAGGCTGTGGACCAACCACACACAGCCCACGGGCGAGGAGGAATCGGCGTCTGTGGGCAGCTAACAGCTAAGCAAGTTCATGAGGGCAGTGAGAGGTCTGCGAGAGGGACTCCCTAACCTGCGCTACCGTGGGCCCCTGTGCCTCAATGGTCCCACCTCCAGGAGGCTTCTCCCTCACACTCGTCTGCTCCTGAGGCACCCTCGGCTCCCCGCACACCTCCCAGAGTCAGCAGGGCCAGCCCCTCTCCCCAGGCTCTGCCGCAGCAGCACGCCAGGCTCACCACCCATCTTCCTGCCCCTTCACATCTGCTGGGACACCCAGTCATGGGCCCAGCCCCTGTGCTGCAGCTCTGACACTCCCACAGCAGCACTTTCTAACTCTTTTGGAAGATGCTGGCTACTCCTAACTCTTCCTCCATTTCTGTTTCTCACAAAGCTCCTCCTCAGCAGGTCAGATGATGTGGGAGAGGCAAGCCCCAGGCCTCTGTCTCTCATCTGCACAGCACCCGCGACTGAGCGCCTCACACCTCACCTTCCACCCGTGTCTTGGACTGCTGCAGCCCATCCCAATGCCAGGGAGGACAACCTCTGTACCAATAAGGACATCTAAGCCCAAGTAGGGCCAGGGCTTGTCCAAGGTTACCAGCTAGTAAGCGGCCAAGCCAGGACTCAACCCAGGGCCTCTGACCCACACTGGCACTTTCTCCCACCAGAACTGAACCCTGTTCTTCACACAGTCTGGGGCTTGTTACTGCTGCTTAGGAAACAATACAGTCATCCTTGGTATTGATCTGAAATGATGGGAGAGCAACCTGGTGGTTTATCCCTCTCTCACACCCACCAGTGGCTGAGCCATCTGACAAGCATTTCCAGGCCTACGTTAGTAGAAAAAAATCAAGGACCCGTGAGACTGGCGGTTTAAGGTCACAGTTCTTAAAAACAGTTCATCAGCAGAGCTGTTTGTAGGTGGAGTCAAAGGCCCTGAGGGCAGAGCGACACTCTTGGGTCCCCGTTCTGAGTCCAGACTAACCCAACACGTAGGACCAGCCCCTCTACAGCTCAACACTCCATGGACAGGAAGGTCACAACCCCACAAAGGCACCTCTCCTACTCCTCGCATTTTAAAGCTGATCCTCAGATGAGCCTCAGTCTGCCTCCCTGTGTCAGTGCCAGTTCTGCCTGCTGGAGGGACCTGCCATCTGTCCCTGTCTCTGAGCACTTCTCAGGGCCAGGTGCTGTGCCAACCAGCTCTGGAAGGTGGGTGCTGTGTCCCCCTTCATGGAGGCATCCAACATGGCGTGAAGGCATGAAGGTGAGGAGACGGCTAGTTCAAATGCACCCAGTGAGTGCTGGCAGCACCGGGGCCTGACCCAGACCCCCGCTGTTCCCTCTGCAGGCACCACGGCCCTCCCCACACCTTCCATCTCATGATACTCCGACAGCATGTCCACTGCTCACCTCCCCCAGGGTTTCTGTGGGTGAGCTGTAGCCAATCCTGTTCCCATTCCACTTCTGGCCCCTCAGCTGACCACCCAGTGATCCAGCCCTGAGACATAGGCCTTCCAACCCCTGCTTGCCACACCTCATGCCTGCATAGGACACTGGAGGCAGATGCTTCCAATGGCCAACATCTGCACACTCAGAAGGTTTGAGGAGAGTTTAGTGGAAGAAGTGGTCAACTTTCCCACTTGGGAGTCTGTGCAAAGATTGCAACCATCCCTTCTGATGGGCCTCTGGCTTTTATGGAGGGATGCTCCCTGAAGTCTGGCTGGCGAGAGCCACACTGAGCCCCTGTCACCCTGGTCTGCCTTCCTCACACAGTCTGCTGGTTTCAGAGGAGTGCTCACACTGACTAGGCACCGGTTAGATGCTGTGGGCCCTCTGACATTGGCTGTCACAAGGTAGGTCTCAGCACTTCTATCTGCAGATGAGGAAACAGCCTCAGAGAAGTCAAGCTGACAGCATGGTGACTTGCTCACCTGTCATGGGATGCACCACACTGGCTCACCTTAAAATTCTGGAACTGGGTAGTGTCTGGCACTTAGCAGCCCTCAATAAATATTTGGCAAATGATCATTCAGTGATCCAGCTCTCTTACATTCTCTTAGAGAGGCAGAGTGACTTCCCAGGTGCCCACTGTGAATGAGCCAGTGGTTGGGCTGGCCCCAGAACTCAGACCTCCTCTTCCCCTCCAGGGGCCAGACAAACTGCACACATGCCAGTTACCCCCTGCCCCCACTAATCAATCATAGCCAGTCTTTTCTACTCAGCCCAGCCTGATCCTCAGAACCCTTCTCACCAAAGCCCTCCAGTCAGCTATCCAGCAGAACGAAGCTGGCAGCCTCTGCTATTCCAGCGCATTCTACAGAGGGAAATTCAGGGAAAGCCTCTGGATAGGGCAAGCCCCTCCTGGATAAGTCTGATCCTGGATAAGCCGTCTTACGTTGACAGATTGAGGAGGTACCCCTACTTGTACCTCTCAGATTCTCCACCTTTTGAGGGAAAAAACAAAGTCAAACATCAAGAGTTGGGGAGAGGGGAGATGTGTGTGTACAAGGGATACTGACCCATCATTTCACAAAACAGAAGCAAAAACAATCCAGAAAAGCCTTCCCTTCTGGGGACAGACTAGTTAAACCTGAGAGCAGAAGCGGGTGGCACGCGTACAGAAGAGGGTCCTGAGAGGAAGGATGGGGCCTGCAAGGTGGCCCAGTGCAGTCACTTCACACGCTTCAGAGCCACAGTGGGGAGCAAGGACTGCAAGGTCTGCTGTGATGCCCAGCTGTCTCCAGGCACTCCGTCCCAGCCTCACCTCAGCACTCCTGCCATGCCCGGCCCTACTGTGCTTCCTGCTTGGTGGCTGGCCACCTCACCCCCTGCCACTCAGGCCAAAGCCCCAAGACCTTCTCTGGACACTCCTCCCTGCCTCCCAAGGTGTCAATTACTCCCCTTGTTTTCTTAGAACACAGAAAGCACCCCAGTATTAGTACTCTTATCTCTCTCAATGGCAAGGCTCTAGTAACCTGTCTGTCACCTCTACTGGGCTATCAACTTTTCCAGAGCACTGGCCTTGCTCTGGTACCTTCAGGTGGTACAACTGCCAACACGGCCTGGAGTGGATGCTAAACAAGTGACTGACCCCAGGCAAACACAAGGAGACTCGAGAGATGGTGACCTCACTGACGTTGGGACCCATGTAAAGAGAAAGTCAGAAAATGAGAACAGACGGTTGCTGGCTACAGTGTGGAAGAAATTCCTTTTGCCATTTCTATGTGGTATGGGAAGTACAGACTGCCTGCGTCTGTCAGAAAGGACTCTGATGATCACCTAGCTCAGTAACTTTGTTTTACAAATGAGCATAGCAGGGTGCAGAGAAGAAAAACGACTTGCCTAGAGTCACAAAATGAGGAAAGTGAACACAGGGCCTCACTGAGGGAGAGTCTCTCCAGCCAGATTTGTTAAGCAGTGTTTGGAAAAGCAAAAGAATCTACTGACACATAAGCCAGTGATACAGGGAAATGAAACAGAGCATTCAAACTGAGGGAGAAGGGACTGGCTCTAGCACTTCCTCATTAAGTCAGGCTTCCAGAGCAAACAGCACAGTGGAGTGAAAGCCCCTGGAGCCCCCTGATGGCACAGCCCCCATCACCATCACAGCCTTTTCTCAGGAGCAGCTTTCTGCTCAGTCACTTACACCACCGTGTGAATTTGAGAGCCGGCAAGGATGTGAGATCATGAAGTCCAGTCATTCCCAAATCTCACTGTACACCAGATAAAATCCATGTTTTACCCCAGACCAAGTGAATCAGAATCTCTGGGGATGGGGCCCAGGAATCCATGATTTTAAACATTCTCCCAAATAATTCTTTTTTGTTTGTTTGGTGAGTGGCTGGTAGGGGAATCCAAACCCTTTGATCTTGGTGTTATAACACCAACGCTCTAACCAATTGAGCCAACTGGCCAGTTGTTCTCTCAAATAATTCTGAAACAGCAAGGGGACAGAGGTGTCGGCAACCACTGAGGAACTGCAACCATGTCACATGACACATAAGGAAATGTAAGCCAGAGAAGGGGAATGATTTGCCAAAAGTAACACAGCGAGTTGGTGTTGGGCCCCATCTAGAAGCCATCCCTCCTGATTCTGAGTCCACCACACCAACCTGCCTCATCTCTAACTGGCCAGGGCCCTTCCCCACCACCTGGATTCAGTTACCTCTGCAGGCCAATAAGCTTCCACTTCTGAAAATCCATAATGTGCAAAGGTGAGGAGACCCAGTGCTTCACAGGTTTGGCATAGCGGCCATAATTGGGGACAAAAATGGACAGTGCTGTTACAAGCTTCCTGACTATGGCCTCATCTTCCCCCAGGACCACAAGCGTCCTCCCACTGAGCAGGGAATAGATGGCTGGGTGAGCAAAGGGGTACTGGCGGATGAATTTTAAGGCGTTCTGGCCAGCCCTTTTTTTATGCCTCTCAGAAGACAGGCTGGCAGAATGAGCAGAGGAGAGGGCCCTGTCCGAGCTGGTGGAGGCAATGCTGCTCATGTAGCTGGTGCTGTCTGAGTAGTTGTCCAGGCTGGTCTTACTGACATCCCGGCTAGCCAGCAGGTGGCTTGGGTCCAGCTCATAAGCGGGGAACCCTTCACAACTGTTGTCTCGGGAAGAAGGGTTGGTGTTTTCCACTGCAAAGTCCACATGGAATTCCTGGTCCTGCCTATAGCGCTGTGGGGGAATGCTCACCACACTGTCCTCGGTGTGGGCTGGAGTAGACAGTGGCACCAACTGACCGTCACTCTCCTTCCCAATACAGCAGGAGGAGTCTATTTGTGATGGGGTGTCTTCCAAGCTGCCCTCCTCAGCCTCACCCAGCTCCGGCGGGCTGATGCTTGCCCGGAAGTGGATGGCTCCCTCATTATCATCTGCATATGATTCTTCTTCATTAATGGCACTTGGGTAGCTGGCCTTAAAGTCATCAGGGATGAGGGCCTCAGAGGGGCAGGTGCTGAGGACTTCAATACTGTCCTCGCTGATGGTCCTGTGGCTGACAGCTTTGCTACGGACCACCTGGGGGCTCAATGGTACCGTGAGACTGGACTGGCTGTCAGACTTAGACAGCACGGACGTGGACTTCTCTGTGCCCAAAACCTCGATGCTCTCACCACTGCTGATACTACCTTTCATGTCCATATCCAAATAGTCCAAGTTTTCCTGGGGGTCAAAACTGCCTGATTCTGTCACCTCCACTTCCTTGTACTCCTCATCTCCAAGTTCCTGCTCCATCTTGATCAGCACAGACTCTACACTGGACTTGTAAGAACCAACACTAATTAACACTTTAGGAATGGGGCATTCTTCCAGAGACCTGGAAGGTGGTCTGTCTTGACTGGGCTTAGAGGGTATACTCTCTTGTTTCTCCACCACCCTGTCATCCACTTCCACAAAGTCTTCAAAGAGGAAGTTTGTTATGTGCTGTTGCTTTAAAAGTGCTCTGTCAATGTGACTGGTCAGGAGGTAGCACAGGTCTCCTCTGAACATGTGCTCAATGTGGCTGAGCTGAGCCAAGGTCTGGGTGAAATATTCAGTGTCACAGAGCTCCTCCAAAGTCTTCAATTTCTTGTCAAAACACTTGGTGGGCTTTGCTTTGATGAGTTTTGGGGTGTAGGCTGGTCTGCGGGTGTAAAGGTCTGTGTCAGCAGGCTCATCAGGGTTAGAGGTAGTGGATGCCTGGTTGACCTGATCCCGGGAGTGCTCCATCTCACCAGAACACAAATCAGACCCCTTCAACTTCCGATGAGGGTATGAGCGGATCTGCTTCAGCAGGTCTTGATGTTCAATGATGGACTTCTCCACGCTGGCCAGTTCATTGGCTTTCTCAATTGCCTGAGATGAGTAAAAGCCTCTGTCGTTGGCTTTCTTCTGGATCTCTGTTTCTGTGTGCAGCACTGTCCTGGTGTAATCCAGGTCTTTCAGTTTTTTCTCAAGTTCCCCAGCAAATGCCTTCCTGTTGCCTGTCTTCAAGCACTCAGAAGCTTTGGAAAATTCAGCCGAAAGTTCCTGGAACTGCTGCATGATTTTATGCTGGTCTGCTGAGATATAAGCCATGCAAAAGGGTCTCACGAAACCACGGGCCTCCAGGTCGTACAGAGTAAGGTGGTGCACATATGCAAAGGCTCCCTCCTTGGAATCGCCCAGTACCACCTTGGAGTCCTCCACAAAGTTCAACTTGGGGTAGGCAGAACCAGGAGGATGACCCACGAAGGAAGCCTGGTAATCCACAGACATGATCCGCAGGGAGAAGTAATTGAGATCAAAAGTGCCAAAAACCTTGGTGTCATTGGGGATGGTCAGCAAGGGTTGGGGTCCCACCTGCTCAGAGAACTCGGAAATAAGAATGAAGTCCCTCGAGAACTTGGCCCCGGAAAGTTTGGACCACGGGTTGGCTCCCTGGGTGGCGAACGGGAAGAGTGGCACCGAGTACTCCTCGGGCAGGGCCGGCTCATTGTAAGGCTCTTCCTCGTAGTCGTCCTCTTTGGTGAAGGCCACCACGTCAGGGGCGCTGATCATATTTCCAGATGTATGGGGAGGACATTGAGAGGAAGTGGTAAAGAAAGAGGGGATAATCAACGCGGAGAAGCCGGTCCTCTGGGGAAGAACATGAAGTCCTTGCGGCCTGCTTCGTGCCCCCAGGTGTCCTAGGCTGCTTCTCCCAAACCCGATGACTCGAACTCCTGCAGCCTCCTTAGAGATGGAGCTACCCCGGAGCCCTCATGAACTCCAAGGCCGCAGACCCAGAAGACCCGTGAGGCTGGTGGCCGCCCTCCTCCTCCTCTTCCTCCGGCGAGCGCGGCCGGCGCAAAGTACCTGCAGCGAGGTCACCGGCACTACCCTGAACCCGCAGCTACAGCAACAACGCCTCCCTGAACTGGTGCCTAACGCGGAGCTTCGGGCCGCCGCAGGAGTCAGCCCAGCCTTGCCGCCCCCACGGCCCGAGGGCAGAAACCGTCGCGGCCCCTTGGACGCCACAAGCCAGAGCCAGCTACCGCGGCACCGCCATCTTGGCATCACATGACTAGCGCGATCGCGCCGCGTGACCCGGAAGCGTCCGCGCACACTTCCGAGCAAGGGAGAAGACCATGAGAGCGCGCCTTGGGCGGGACTGTGCAGCGGGCCCCGCCGAGGACGAGTCCGATTAACCAACCACTGTCGTGAAGCGACAGAGGGGCATGGTTGGAGCGCGGGGCAGTCTGGGAGTTGTGATTCGCGGTCGCTGTGGGGCGCGCTCCTGGCGGAAGTGGCCGGAGAGGCGGGCGGAAGTGGAACGCCGAGAGCGGGTTCGGTGCAGAGGCGGCGGCAGCCGGGAGAAGGCGCAGTGGCCGCGGCTCCGAAGGCCCGCGGGCTGGTGGGGAGGTGACTTGAGCGCAGGCGGCTCCCGGAGGCTCTCTTCCCTCACGGAGGGCGCCGGGCGGGCCTCACCTCTGGCTCCCTCAGCATGCGCGGGCTCCCGGGGGGCGGCTGCGGGCGCGGGGCCTAGGGATGATCTTCACGGTCGCCCGCTGCGCGCTCCGGTGGCTGCCACGGCCTGGCGGCCGTACCTTGTCCCGCGCCGCCATGGAGGTGGCCTTTCGAGGCGTGCGGAAAGTCCTCTGTGTGGCCGAGAAGAACGACGCGGCCAAGGGGATCGCGGACCTGCTGTCCAACGGTCGTCTGAGGCGGGTAAGGAAGCGCCTTTCCGATCGGCTGCGCTCATTGAGGGAGGCCCACGGAGCGGCACAGCGTGGTGGGTGCCCGGAGTCGAGATAAAGACAGTTTCTCCCGCTTCTGAGGCGTCACTGCCTCTCGGCCGGACCATGGCAGTAGCTTCCCGTCTGCCCTCCCGGGCCCCAGGCTCCCCTCGGAATGATGGGCATTTTCAAGTGTAGTTAAGACCTTTCTTTCATTTGCTAGAAATCCTTTTTTCTTCCTTGCCCACTGCAGCGTTCCCAAACTTGTCTGAGCCTCGGAACTGCCTGGTATACTCTGTGAGTCTTGGGTGAGACTGGGGAAGTCCTGTATGTTCACATATTTTCTTGATTCTGAAATTCAGTTGGGAACCAACTGACCATACTCCTTAAACTTAGTGTTAAAGCCCACCCCGTCCTGTGCCACATCCCCTGCATTCTGCAGCCTCTGTGACTTTCCAGTCTTTAAGTGCACACTGACGGGGAAAGACTATAAGATTTGGGGATTAGAGGTAAAGTAAGCCCTGTTCCTACTTCTGCAAACTGATTCCGAAATACACACACTGGAGGCACAAAGGAGAAAGGAAGATGAGAAAAGGCTTCATAAAGGAGGTGACACGGGGACCTTAAGATCTGTCCAAGAAACTCTCAAATAACAAAAGTAGGTCCTGAAATAGTTTGCTGGAGAACATTTCTAAAAGCATGGAGCAGAAGTTCTCTGCTTCCCACCCCCCCACGATCCCAGGGTCCCTAGACTGGGACTGAAAATCTGGGGGATAGTCTGAGTGGAGCCAAGGTTGTGTGGGCGCTGAGAGCCTCACCTCTTTCCAGTGCCTAAAATCCTGGTGACCAGTCTTAAAGATTGCCAACTTCTAGGGATCTGGGCCTTTTGAGAATGGCCTCTCTGTACCTAGTTAAATTCTTCACCCTTCAGGACTCTGCTTAAATGTCTCTTCAAGGAAACTTTCTCTCACATCCATTCCCCCCGTCCCCGACTAGTTCAGGGACCCTCAGTGATATGCTATCATGGCACTCTATTCTACTTGGAAGGCATTTAGGAGTTACAGTTCAATAATGCAATGCTCAGATTTTTTTTTTTTTTCTGTCACCACCCCTCCTTGGACTCTAAGCTCCAAAGGCAGAGACTATATTTTGTCAATTGCTATATCTTAAAGCCTATTATAGTGTCTGAAATACAGGAGAATTTCAATAAATATTTGTTGGATGAATGTGTAAGCTGAGTCTTGAAAATTTTACCAGGAAGTGGAAACTAAAAAACAACCCAATAGCCTGACACAACTTGACATGTTCAAATTCAAAAACAATGAGAAGTTAGTAGTATGGTATAGTGGGAGGAGGAGCCAGTGAGTTAAGCAAGAGGTCAGAAGAGTATTAGAGAGCCAAGGAGGTGGTTGAGTGTGGTAAAATATACATAAAAGTTACCATTTTAACCATTTTGAAGTTTACAATTCAGAGGCATTTAGTACATTCACAATATTATGCATCCATCACCACTATCTAGTCCCAGAAGATTTTTACCACCCCAAAGGGAAACCCCATATCCATTAAGCAGTCACTCTCCCTTACCCCCTTCTCCCAGGCCCTGGCAACCACTAGTCTGCTTTCTGTCCCCATGGATTTGCCTATTCTGGACATTTCCTATAAGTGGAACCATACAATACTTGGCCTTTTGTGTCAGGCTTCTTTCACTTAGCATAATGTTTTTGAAGTCCATCCATGTAGCTTAATATTAGTACTTCATTCCTTTTTATGGCTGAATAACATTCCATTATATGGATACATCACAATTTGTTTCTCCATCCATCAATTGATGGACATTTGGGTTTTTTCCACTTTTTGGCTCTTGTGAATAGAACTGCTATAAACATTCATTCATTTTTGTTTGAATACCTGTTTTCAGTTCTTTTTGGTAGATTCCTAAGAGTAGAAGTGCTGGGACAAATAACTCAGTGTAACTTTTTGAGGAACCACCAAACTTTTCTACAGTGGCTGAAACGTTTTACTTTCCCACCAGCAGTGTTCAAATTTCTCCACATCCTGAACAACACTTGTTATTTTCCTTATTGTTGTTGTTTTGGGCACTGGCTGGTAAGGAGATCGAGACCTGTGACCTTGGTGTTATAAGGCTGCTCTCTAACCAACTGAGCTAACTGGCCAACCCTTTTTTAAAAATTGTCATTCTAGAGCGTGTGAAGTGGTATCTCATTGTGGTTTTGATTTGCGATTTCCTAATGACTAATGGCATTGAGCATCTTCTGTATTCTTGTTGGCTATTTGTTTATCTTTGGAGAAATGTTGGTTATGCTTCTGGTGTCGTATTCAAGAAATCATTACTAAATCTAAGGTCAGAAAGATTTCCCCATTTGTTTTCTTCTAAGAGTTTCATGGTTTTAGCTCTTACATTTAGGTCTTAGGTTCATTTTGAGTTCACTTTTCTATATGGTGTGAGGTAAGGATCCAATTTTTACATGTGGATATCCAGTTGTCCCAGCACTGTTCATTGAAAAGACTGTCCTTTGGATGCCCATTGGATGGACTTGGCATCTTTGTCAAAAATCAGTTGGCCATGGATGTTTGAGTTTATTTCTGGACTGTCAATTATATTTCTTTGTTCCATATGTCTGTCTTTATGCCAACACAGCACTGTTTTGATTACTCTACCTTTGTAGTAAGTTTTAAAATTGGGAAATGTGAGTCGTCCAACGTTGTTCTTCTTTTCCAAGATTGTCTTGGCTATGCTGGGCCCCTTGCAATTCCTAATGAATTGTAGGATCAGCTTTTCCATTTCCGCAAAAAAGGCCATAGGGATTTTGATAAGGATTGCAGATCAAGTGTAGGTCACTTTTGGAAAGTATTGCCACCTTAACAATAATAAATCGCCCAATAAGTGGACACAGATTGTCCTTCCATTTATTTAGGCCTTCTTTAATTTCTTTCAGCAGTGTGTTGTAATTTTCAGTGTGTGAGTCTTGTACCTCCTTGGTAAAATTTATTCTTAAATATTTTATTATTTTAGATGTGATTGTAAGTGGATAAGGGGCATAAAGAATAAGTATGATTTGTAACAATGAATATACTAATAAAAAATAAAAATAATCATTTTCCTCTTAAAATTTGCTATTATACCTCAAAGAGTGCCTCAATCAACGTTCCACACAGAAATTTTTTCTTTTTGAGGCTGAGGAAGAATCTTCTGATACTGGTCCTTCTTGCCCTTGAATGTTTCCCCAGTTCCCAGTCAGCCTTTCTCTTGCCTTCTGTTTACTGTTGGTGTGAAACACACAGCACAACTGCTTGTAATGCCTTGGTGGAAGAAGGTGGGATCTATTCAGAGGGTCTTGTTCTTCCATGGTTGCACTTGAAGAAGTGTTTTGAAGACTGGATTCCAGTTATGGCTGGGGCTCACAGTGTCTTTGGATTTCAGAGCCAGAAGGAACTTCAGAGATAACTTTATTCAGGAATAAATTGAGGGTCAGGAAAAGTGAATGACTTACCCGTGATCACTAGTTTATTGGTGCAGTTGTAGAGCTAGGAAGTAGCAGAAATATGTGGGGAGGAAGGAGAAAATCGTCGAGACTTATGTCCTAATTCTTTCTGTGCCATTAATTTGTCATGTGCCTCAGACAAGACCATTCTCATCTATAAAAAGATGTTATGTAAGCTAATCTCAAGGTTACCTTTGAGCATTCAAACTCTATGGGTTCTGTCAAGTACGTACTTGGTAGCTATGTTTTGAGGGGCCACTTAATAAATGGTCTTACTAATTTAGCCTAGTTTTCTTGTGTTTTTGTTTTTGGTTTTTGGTGGCTGGCCGGTACAGGGATCAAACCCTGGACCTCAGTGTTGTCAGCACTATGCTCTAACCAACTGAGCTAAATGGCCAGCCCTAGCCTAGTTTTTATCTATCGGAAATACTATTATATTTTTAATATTCTTACTTATCAGGGTTTTGCTTGATCTTTTTGTTGAGGAGTCATTTGTTTTTTAATGTAATTTATATATGTTTTAAATTTATTTCTGTTTTGTTTTATAGAGAGAAGGACTTTCTAAATTCAACAAGATCTATGAATTTGACTATCATCTGTATGGCCAGGTAGGTGCTCAAATTAATTTCCATCATAAAGCTGAAGTGTGCTTTCAGATGCATGTGCCATTTTGGTATACATTCGTTGGGTTTTTAGCTTTAGCTAAAAAGAGCAGCTGTTTACTATAAATCCTTCCTGAATTGCTTGTACTTAGTATTAAGAAGAATGTCATCCTGGTCATATGTAGAATATGTTACTCTGTTGAGAATAACTATTGTTATGAACTAAAGGTCCCTTGTTACAGGTGATCATTTTATAATTTACAAAGGAAACTCTTTTTAATAAAATGTGGTCCCATCTCACCTCTTTAATAACAAGAAAGATGCTAATACACAATAGTTTGAGGAAATTTTAAATGATACAAAAGGCGTCGTGGTACTACAGTTAGAATGTTGACTGTATTATGGAAGTACCCCCTTATCTTCGGTTTCAATTAACCACTGTCAACTATGGTCTGAAAATATTATATGGAAAGCAGATGATCGTCCTTCTGAGTATTGTCAGAAGGTTAGTACTAGCCTAACGCTGCATCACAATGCCTGCGCCATTCCCCTTGCTGCCTCTCATTATGTAGGCCCTGCATCATCAGCACAAGAAGGTGAGTGCAGTATAAGAGATGTTGAGAGAGACACACTGCATTCCCATCACTTTTACTGCAGTATCTTTTATAATTGTTCTATTTTATTATCAGTAATTGTTAATCTCTTACTGTGCCTAATTTGTCAATTAAACTTTATCATAGGTGTATACGTAGGTATAGGAAAAAAACATAGTTCTCTGTATATAGGGTTCGATACTATCCGTGGTTTCAGGAATCCACTTGGGGTCTTGGAACATATCCCCTGCAGATAAGGGGAGCTACTGTACTATGGCTTTTGGCTTTGAAGAGCTATATTTGTGTTTTTTTCTTCCCAATTTTTTTTCTTTAAGTTCTTCCCTTTTATTTGAATGATTTGGCACAATATAACTGCAAAATACTAACTTGAATTTTGTTATTATTCAGAATGTTACCATGATAATGACTTCGGTTTCTGGACATTTGCTGGCTCATGATTTCCAGATGCAGTTTCGAAAATGGTCAGTACAATTCCTGGGGGAAGGACTTGCTGATTATTACAGTAAGTCGTGAAATAGTACAGGAATTTTGAGGCTTGTTGATCTTACCCTGTAATTTATAATATTGAGATGACCTAGGATTATCTGGTTCTTTGTGAATTTTTATCATGTCTTTAGAATAAACACCCTATTATTGGTGTTCCCCTAAAATAGCCAGACCTTTTTCGTGTAGTCATTGCACTGCATTTATACTACTGCAGATATGCATGAAAGGGTTCCAAAATGTCTTATTAGCAGCTCCTTTTAACTTCTTCGGGAAGGGGATGGTGCATTGTGTAAAGGGTCACAGCCTTGGTTTTAATCCTCTGGGACTTTTTCTGTTGGGGATCCACCCATGAGCCTGCTGGAGCAGTTCATTCTTATTAGAATAGAGGGCTCTCCATCATGCGCTGAGGTGGGACTCTGTGTTTTCATTCTTTTTTAGGCAGAGCTGCAACCCCCTTGTCCTCTTTGAAGCAGAAATCGAAAAGTACTGCCCAGAGAATTTTGTGGACATCAAGGTAGGTTTTGGAAGACATATGGCACTGAAATGGGGACAACCATAAATAGTCAAACTGAGTAATTTCTGTATTTTTAATGCATTGAAATTTAGAAGTAAGGTTTTCCATCAAGCTTAATATTGTGATTAAAAGATCATTCCCACCCATTGTATAAATGAGGGTTAGGGGTCAAGTGACTGAAGTAAAGCCTTTTTTGTGAATAGTAGTTGTTTAAGGAAATCCTGGGAATAAGCATTGTTAAATTATTAATTCTAGTCTGCATCCCACCCTTAGTTAGACTGAAGAGGCAACAAAGTGTAGATGGTTGTTTGACAGTAAATTGTCAGTTTTCAAGCAGTCAGAGCACCTATAGGTTGTTTACTGCTTACTAGGAAGCTTCTTTAATGACTAACTTGTTAAATCAGTAAATATCTGAAGATGCATATTGCTTAGAAATATGGCATTAAATACTAAAAGAAATGGGTAAAACAATTGAAAAGGGTCCCAGGCAGTGTGACTAGAGATTTCTGTTATAACTTCTATAAAACTGTGTTTATTAACACTATGTACTGTTTTGATTTAAAAAAAGAAAAGAAAAGAAAAATCAGAAGGGCAATACTTTAAAAATCCTATGAAAACAATCTAATTATCTTTTAGATTTTAGATAAATTTAGATATTTAGATAAATTATATAGAATTTAGATTAGATATTTAAAGAAACCTTTAAATATCTAATGTATTTTATAATATATTGATAGCTTCTACCTGTTTTCAACCGATAAGAGTCTAAAAAGGGAAAAATGGAGTTTGAAGTTAAAATATACTCGTCTTAAAACATCTATTATTTTTTTTTTTTGTCTTTTTCCATGTCCGGCAATGGATCGCAACCCTCGGTGTTGCCCCCGTACCGGACCGGGGACCGGCAACGGGATCGCAACCCTCGGCATCGCTCCCGCGCCTCGCTCAGCCAGTGAGCGGGAACCGGTCTGTATGTGGGATCCGAACCCTCGGGCGGGAGCGCCGCCGCGCTTCCCAAGTGGCGCATTACAGCAGTGCGCCACCGGGCCAGCCCAGGATTTAATTTTTTTTTAACCAGAATGTATCCGAACCACTAGAGTTGTAAGTATGTGTGAAAGCTGAGTTTTAGGTTCCATCATATCGGTGATGAAGTTGTATTAAACCCTCAGTCTCCTGGAAACTCATGGGTCTGAGCTTTATGGGTCTGAAGCTTTATGGGTCTGGAGGATTGTGCTAGTGACCTCACCATCATTAGTGCTGGTAAAAGCAGTTTTGTCTTATCTTTTCTCCCTCATCTAGTTGGCACAGTGCAAGAACAGCATTAATCCCACTCAGGTCTCTCTAGTGTAAAGGTGTCAAGTAATTGCTCTTTGATTCTGCTCTCACTGCTCTTTCCCTACCATGAACTTTAGAAAACTCTGGAACGAGAGACCCGGCAGTGCCAGGCTCTGGTGATCTGGACTGACTGTGATAGAGAAGGGGAAAACATTGGGTTTGAGATTATCCATGTGTGCAGGGCTGGTAAGTGTTGCCACTGCTGAGTTTCTTTACCTTGGGGCCCCATACATAGAGCGTTCTTCTGTATATTCATATACGTACAGGTGGGCCATGGCTGAGTTCTTCCACACATGCTCTCCCTCCCAAGTCTCACCAGCTGTGGGTCCTGGAGCAAGTCACTGAACCCCCGAGAACCTAGACTTCCTTATCTGTAACATCAGGCCTGTCCGACATGTTTCCTGGGGCTGCCTGTGGATTAAATGAGTTGAGTGGTGTAGACCATTTAGCTCAAGGCTTGTTCCTTATTAGGTACCAGGAGAACACTACCTTCTTGAGAACAGGGACTTTATATTCTGTTTTTAAAAGTTGTATATTGAATATATGCAAAAGAATGTATATACCATAAGTAAAGTACAAAGAATAATTCTAAAATGTTCTATTCTTTTTTATCTCCCATATTCTTTGTACAGTGCCTGATGATTAATAAATAATTGTTGAGATGAATTTGAATGGCTGTAACAGGGTTAACGGTTTCAGGTAACTTAGAGGAAGGAATGAATGGGCCATTCTCTGGTTGAGAAGGTGGGGTTTTGTGTTGGAAGCTGTGTAACTCCTGGGAATTTAAGTGCATTAACTTTCAAGGACAGTTTATATGTCTCGTATTCTTTCCTGAAGGAGCATGAAATTCCCCCACAGGGCCCTCTAATTGACAGCGTTTTTCTTTTCCATAAAAGCATGAGAGAGCAAGACAGATTAAAGTCTCAAAAGGCTCATCAAGAAAAGTTTAGTTCATAGCTGAAATTTCCTCCACCATTATTTCTGACAATACTCAGTTTAAAGATGTTTCCCTCTTAGACATTGTATGTTATTAATTTAACCTGATAGGTAAATGGATGCCTCACAGTTTCTTGAACTGACTTGCCTTTATTTTAAGATGGTTTAAGAGAAGTGAGTCCTTTATGATGAGAGGACAGTGTGATGTGACTTTGACCTTAGTCACTCCTTGTGTTCTGTAGTGAAGCCCAGTCTGCAGGTGTTGAGAGCCCGTTTCTCTGAGATCACATCGCGTGCCGTCAGGATGGCCTGTGAAAACCTGGCTGAGCCTGATCAGAGAGTAAGCGATGCTGTGGATGTGCGGCAGGAGCTGGACCTGAGGATTGGTGAGGAGCTAGGTGGACATTTCCTATGGCCCCCGTGGTACACTGATGTTGGGTTATGGAAACACACATGAGGCTCCTGTGTGGATGTGTGTATCCGGCTTTGACCTCATCATTTGTCAGTTCTCCTTTCTTCCAACCTCACTTTCCAGGCGCTGCCTTCACTAGGTTCCAGACCTTGCGGCTTCAGAGGATTTTTCCCGAGGTGCTGGCGGAGCAGCTCATCAGCTATGGCAGCTGCCAGTTCCCTACACTGGGGTTTGTGGTGGAGAGGTTTAAAGCCATTCAGGCTTTTGTGCCAGAAATTTTCCACAGAATTAAAGGTAAGGCAGGTGGCAGGTTTGCCCAGGAATAACAAGGGGGATCATGGAGTGTTAATAGCACTAATTATAAATGTGTGATGATTTTTTTTAGTGTTGCTGCCCTTTACCTTGCCCCATTGCAATATTCAGAATTCACTTAAAGTCTTCTTTGTTGTCCAGAAATGCTTTCCTTTTTCATATTCCTTTAAATTTCACTATAATATACCATTTTCTGTCTGTCATAGCATGGGGCTTCTGTGAGACACAGCCTTTTTGTTTATCTCTTCCCGATATAGTAACTCATGACCACAAAGATGGTACGGTAGATTTCAACTGGAAAAGGCATCGTCTCTTTAACCACACGGCTTGTCTTGTCCTCTATCAGTTGTGTATGGAGGTAAGAAGTCCTTTGAAATCTTTATCATCTCAGAAACGTTCTGCACGCCCTCCAAGACACTCTCTCTCTGTTGGTAGAAGTGACCCTGTCCATTCTCCCACTGAACTGTATTAGTTTTGTTTGCACCTCAGAGCATCACTTTTTGGGGACCAGTGACACTAGAACTTCATGAAAACAGCACTAAAAATGTGAAAGGGAAGGATCTGCAAAGCTTTTAGATAAAACCAGTAATTTTGAGAAATGTATAGTTGAAGTCTGTCCCTGAGGCATATTCTGTCTCCAGAGATTAGGAAGGATCAGCTAGATCAGTCTAGACCATAGACTCCTGGAGCTGGGAGGGAGTTTGGGCAGCATCTGCTCCAACCCTCTCTTCCATTGGTCACATGAGAAAATCTGGAGAGATGAAAATCACAAACAAATGGATAAGTTCATTTCGTATAGTGATAAATGTCTGGAAGAAAATAAAGCCGGGTAAAGGAATAGAGAATGACCTGAGGGGCATGGAGGGGACTGTTCTAAATGTGGTCATGAAAGGCTCTTCTGAGGGTTGACATTTGAATGGAGGCAGGAGTGATTAGGACACCGCCAGGGGAGGACCTGGGGGAAGTATGTGTCATAGAGAGAGCAGCACCTGCAGAGGGCCCCAACCAGCTCAGGCCACAGGCAGTGAGTGGCAGAGGTGGGACACTGCCTTCCTGTTTCCTGACTCTCAGACTGATGGTTCACTTTGTGATGCCACTTCCCATCAGTCAGTGCATCATTGCCTGATTTAACTTAGGGGCTGCACACGGGGGTGCCTGAGGAACATTCATAGGTCTCTAGGTTTGGTAATTCGTGGTGTGCTTCTTGGCTATAGCCTGCTGGCAGATTTATTATTAATTTGGTAAGGGAGTGATAACTATTAAGCACCTGCGGTGTGCCAGGCACACTGTTACGTGTTATTTTGTTTAATCCTAATAATGGCCTGTGAGGGTGGTGATACCATCTCCATTTTATAGAAGAGAAAGCTGGAGAAAGGGAAGTAACTTGCTCACAGACACACCAGAGCTCTTAAGTGGCAGAGCACACATTGGAGCCCGCTGTATTCTTGCTCCTCTACAGACCACACTGATCCAGGGAGACAGCCCGTCTGTCCACCACTCCACCCTGTGACCCTGCACATTTGTTAATAGAAAGACCTGCCCTGCTTCTCCACCAGGATGTGGTGCAAGAATCAATGGCATGTGGTGTACTTTGAGCTCCTTGGAAAGAGCACCTAGTCCCTAGTCTATTGGGAAGGAGAAATTCAAATTTTGATATACAGATATCCTTACTAGCAAATTATTTAAGCTGAGTTTTTTGTTCATTTACACAGTCTTAAAAATGTGAAGTTGGTTTTTTTTTTTTTTTCCTTTTTGTCTTTTTTCATGACTGGCAATGGATCGCAGCCCTCAGTGTCGCGCCCATACCGGACCAGGACCGGCCACGGGATCGCAACCCTCGGTGTTGCTCCTGCCCCTCACTCAGCCAGTGAGCGGCCGGTCTGTATGTGGGATCCGAACCCTCGGCGGGAGTGCCACCGCGCTTCCCAAGCGGCGCACTATAGCAGTGCGCCATCGGGCCGGCCCGTGAAGTTGGTTTTAAGATTGAAATTCTCCAGCTTGTATTGTGTAATTTCTATTTCTTTTTGTTTTTTTTTTTTAAAGATGACCGGTAAGGGGATCTTAACCCTTGACTTGGTGTTGTCAGCACCACGCTCAGCCAGTGAGCGAACCGGCCATCCCTATATGGGATCCGAACCCGTGGCCTTGGTGTTATCAGCACCGCACTCTACCGAGTGAGCCACAGGCCGGCCCTGTAATTTCTATTTCTAATGCTGTCTTAACCTGAATTTAAAAAAAAAAAATAGTAATACTGTACATGTGTGGGTAGGCAGCTGTACCCAGGAGATGCAGACTGTTGATTTCATAGGCTCCGGAGGAGACACCCTAAGGCTTACGAAAGTGCCCTTCAAAATCTTGGTTTGAGTGAAAAGGGGGTGATGGCATTCACCACACTGTTGGCTGCAAGCGATCTTCAGTGTGGCAGTGTCTTGGGCTGTAGCTGTGGCCTCAGCTGTCAGTCAGGGTAATCTGGAATGGTGAGCAGGGGCAGTCCACAGCAAGGCGGGAGATGATGCACCAACACTTTAATGTGGTCCTTGCTTTCCTGGCTTTCTAGGATCCCATGGCAACTGTGATGGAGGTCAGGTCTAAGCCAAAGAGCAAGTGGAGGCCTCAAGCTTTGGACACTGTGGTATGTTCCAGGTGACCTATTTCAAGCACTGAGGATCAGTTACTTCCTGTTGTTGGGTCTGGGGTTCTACTGATGGACTGTGGAAGGAAATGTTGCCTGTCACAGAGCCACACAGCAGAGCGCTTGGAAAAGACATGGCTCACTTGACCTCTTCATGCTGTTTTTTTAAGTTAGCAAATGCAGTATAACTGCATAATGTGAGGTTTGGGAAACAAAAACAGGAAGACAAACGACCAGTAATCTCACCATCCTTACATAATCACCGATATAATTCTGTTATCTTCTCTTCCTATTTTTTTTCATATACATATTTTTACAGCATCATAATTGGAGTAACTTTTTTTTCTACCCAAGCAATTTTTCATGTTGCTGCCTAATCTGTGTAAACATAATTTTAAATATCTGCTATATGAACTTACCTTAAAACAGGGCTTCTCAAATTTTTTGATCCCGCGAAGAGCCACCCCCATGGGACACAATTCTGAAAAAAAAAAAAAATCCCATTAGGGATGCACCTCCCCAGCCACTACTTAGCAGGAAAATGCAGGGTAGAGTTATAGTCAGAGTTAACTCTGGAGGTTGAACATGCAGGATGTGCAGCCTAAGAAACCTGTGGAGGCTGGTGGGCAGTGCCTTCTCTGTCTCCAGTAGCCACAATGTATTGTGTGTATGTGCTACATAATATGGTATTCCAAGGGAAAAGTTGTGGATTGATTTTATATATTAGGCACATTTGTTTTATTCCTTACTTGTTAAAATATGCTTTGACGTATAGTCAACAACATTGTTGAAGTTTCTTGTAGGGGAAAGAATAGCTGATTATCCCCCTGAGGACCTCAAAGATGGTTTTTATCATCCAGAGGAGTCTGCTGGGGCTTTGGTGGTGTTTCCAATGTGTGGATCTCAGATTACCTGTGTTAGAATCAGTGTGTTAGACTGCTTGTTAAAAAATGCTGATTCTGGCCTCTGTCCCCCTACTCTGTCAGATTTCCTAGTGGTCAGGGCCTAGAAATCTGCTGCCTTCCCTGGTGAGTCTAACTGCTGCATGTCAGAGTCTGAACACTGGGCTGGGATCTGGCTCTCCCTGGCTGGCCCAGAAATCTTTCTCGGGCACAGTCTTTCCTCTATATGAAAGCAGCAACTGGAGTAACAGGGGCCAGACCTGTCTGAAGATGAGTTGTGTAGTCGTGTGGTGCCCACCGACTCACCCACCATACCTAATGTGCCTGTCGACCCATTCAACAGGAGCTTGAAAAGCTGGCTTCTCGCAAGTTAAGAATAAATGCTAAAGAAACCATGAGGATTGCCGAAAAGCTCTATACTCAAGGGTAAATATTCTGGATTTGGGAGTAGAATTTGGTGCATCTTTATCAGGATAAAATGTTTTAGAAATAGAGCTTGTAGGGCCGAGCCCGTGGCGCACTCGGGAGAGTGCAGCACTGGGAGTGCAGCAGCGCTCCTGCCGCAGGTTCGGATCATATATAGGGATGGCTGGTGCACTCACTGGCTGAGCGCAGTGCAGCCGGTCTCAAAAAGGACAAAAGAAAAGAAATAGAGCTTGTGGGGTAACACAGACTGTCTAGATATCATCTGGGCTCTGAAATAGAAGGATTTTTGACATTGACGTTTCAGTAAGGAAAAGGTTAGATAGGAACCCATAGAATAGATTCAAATCCTGTTCTTGGCCCCTCAACAACTCTTCCTAGGGCCCTGGCAAGTGGCGAACAGCAAGTGGCACCTTTAGGAGTTGTTTGCCTGTGAAAATCATCCCTACCTCAGGGGTCATGAATGCCAGGCACTGAAATCCTCTTATATGCTGTCTAACATGTGACTGTTGAACACTTGAAATTTGGGTTGTCTGCATTTGGATGTGCTGAAAATATAAAATATACACTAGATTTTGAATATTTGTATGAAAATAGAATGTATCCTATCTCAATGATTTTTAAGCAGCTAATAGAAACTTTTTTTTTTTTTAAAGATGACGGGTAAGGGGATCCGAACCCGTGGACTTGGTGTTATCAGCACCACACTCTCCCAAGTGAGCCACGGGCCAGCCCCAGCTAATAGAAACTTTTAAATTGCATGTAGAGTCCACATTATAGTTGTATTGGACAGCATTATACTTTCTATACTTTAAGAAGTTGCAGAGACACAATGTTGAAGCTGTCAGGGCCAGTGAGGCTTGTGCACTGCACCAGGGCCATTCTGTCATACTAATCCTAAGAGAAGCCAGTGAAGTGTCCCAGGCTGCGAGTCTGCTGGCAGAGCCCTGAGCCCTTATCCTGCTCTGTGGCCGCTTCCATTTCACCTTTGGCTTGAATGTCCTAACAGGAGAACCTAGTGCTTTTCACCCTGTGAGGGAGTCACATCTCAGAATTTTCCTCGTTGTAGGTAACCAAGGCTGTTTTCAGTTGAGTTGGCTATGTCAGGTGGGCAATTGCAGGTGTTACCAAGTGCTTTCATTTATTTATAGACCAATTAAAGAGCCTAGCAATTTCTTTTTCTGTTTGTTTGCCTTTGTTTTAGGTACATCAGCTATCCCCGAACAGAAACAAACATTTTCCCCAGAGATTTAAACCTGACTGTGTTGGTGGAACAGCAAACCCGGGATCCCCGCTGGGGGGCCTTTGCCCAGAGCATTCTAGAGCAGGGTGGCCCTACCCCACGCAATGGGAACAAGACTGACCAAGCTCACCCTCCCATTCACCCCACCAAATATGCCAGCAACTTGCAGGTTGGTCTTTCTGAAGGTGCTGCCCGTTGGAACATAGAGGGAGGTGGTGATGGGTCAGTGGTAGGATTTGAATTTGCTCTACAGACTCTGACTTTAGGAAATAAGTGGTTTTGAAATATCTTTTCCATTTCAGAAAAGAGAAATCAGTGTCAGGATTTTTCTGTTTCATAATCTTCTGCCTGGCTTTCATGAAAGACTCCCCATGGTGGGCTCCACCATCTCTCCAGCCCCACCTCCCCACTCTGTCAGTTCCCACAGCTTCTCCACTGGCCTCTCACACACCTGCCTGGGCTTTTGCACAGCCCCCACACCTACAGCGAACCTCACGAACCTTATGGCCTTTGTGGTCCCATGTCAACTGGAAGAATCCAGTCCATCCTCCCAAGAATGGGATAAGCTTCCATTGCCTTCCTGAACCTTTACTGCAACCCTCCTGTCATGCCGCAGTCACTGTGGTCTTCCCATTCAGCTCTGCCTGACTGTGTCCGTGTTTTAGCCACTTCCTCAGCAGGGAGTAAGTGCTGGGAGGGCATGAGCTGTTAAGGGTTATTTGACATCTGCAGGCTTGTCACAAAATTGAGTGAATTTTAGTCTTCTTCTTTTTTTTTTTTTTTTTCTTTCTTTTTTGTCCTTTTTGAGACCGGCCGCACCGCGCTCAGCCATTGAGCGCTGTGAGCGCACCGGTCATCCCTATATAGGATCCAAACCCGCGGTGGGAGCGCCATCGCGCTCCCAACGCTGCACCCTCCCGAGTGCGCCACGGGCTCGGCACAAGTCTTTTCTTCTTTTAATAACATTTTCTTTCTGATTTAAAAGTAATACATGTTGGGGCCGGCCTGTGGCTCACTAGGGAGAGTGCGGTACTGATGACACCAAGGCCATGGGTTCGGATCCCATATAGGGATGGCCAGTTTGCTCACTGGCTGAGCGTGGTGCTGACAACACCAAGTCAAGGGTTAAGATCCCCTTACCGGTCATCTTTTTATTAAAAAAAAAAAAAGTAATACACGTTCATTTTAGATAATTTAGAAAATACAAAAGATTATAAGGAAGAAAAAAATTGCCTGTAATCCTACCACTACCAAGAACTACATTTTTATGCATGTATATAATATTCTTATGATAAAATTATAATCTCAAATGATTTTGTAAAAACATTTTAACATTTTTTATCATAAGCATTTTCTCATATACTATAGTTTTTAAAAGTATGCTATTTAACATTGTATAGATGTACCATAATTTATTTTGTCACATCTGTTTTTGGAAGATTAAGTTATTTCCAACTTTTTGATAGATGATATACTATAGTTAATGTTTGTATACATAAATATTTGTGTGAATCTCCAATCGTTTCCTTTGAATAAATCCTTAGAAGGGGAATTATTGGATGTGAGTATTAGTGTCTTATGGGCTTTTGATAGATTGAGTCTCACTAAATCCTGATCACTTGATTGATTGGAAATCACCCTAAGAAATTGCTGCTTTGAGTGTGTGCATGGAGTTGGCCTAAGGCTGTCGGGTCCAGTGTTATTCTGTGTGTCTTGTATTCAGGGAGTCTCTTGCTACCTTCTTATGCTTTCGTCTTGTTTTCCGCTTAGATTGATGTTTACATCAAAGAACCATTTCCCACTTTGGAGGGAAGATGACTCCCTGGCTGACCACATCTGATTAGAATTGTGAGATGTATCAGCATAAACCCTTAGCTCCCCAGGACATGTCTGGCACTCTACTTTAGTGCAGGACCTGAGGAGTGATGTGGCCTGTTCTGTGCAGAACTTGAATCTGAAAGGTGGCATAAACCAGGTTTAAACTACTGGTGATGCTACTGTCCTTGAGAGGTGATATTCTGGAGGGAGTTTCAGACTCTTCTTTCTTCCTAGGGAGATGAACAGCGACTGTACGAGTTTATTGTTCGCCATTTCCTGGCTTGCTGCTCCCAGGATGCTCAGGGGCAGGAGACCACAGTGGAGATTGACATTGCTCAGGAACGCTTCGTGGCCCATGGCCTCATGATTCTGGCACGAAACTATCTGGACGTGTATCCATATGATCACTGGAGTGACAAGGTGATAAAGAGGTGGGCCCCAGGGAGAGAGAGGACAGCTGTGCTCCCAGCCCTGAGCCATCTGAGGGAGCAGGACTGTGTTCCTTGAAATGGAGGTTGTTTTTTGCATGAGTTCATGACAGACTGATCTGAGTTCCGTGCCTGCTCCTCCCTGTAGATCCTCCCCGTCTATGAGCAAGGTTCCTGCTTCCAGCCGAGCACTGTGGAGATGGTGGACGGGGAGACCAGTCCGCCCCAACTGCTCACTGAGGCTGACCTCATTGCCCTCATGGAGAAGCACGGCATTGGTCAGTAGCTTGTCCAGGTAGCTCTTGAACACTTACTAATTGCCAGGTCCTGAATCTCCTCTAGTCCTCACAGTGACTCTCCAACGCAGGAGCTGTATTCTTATCTCCATTTTATATTGAAGCAAGGGATAGAGAGGTTAAGAACTTACTAAGGTCACAAAGTGTGTGAGTTATTAAAACCTCATCCAAATCACTCCACAGTCAATGCTCAAACCCTGCACTGCATCATGCATGTAATGACAGAGATTTCCAGGACTCAGAGGGCTCCACAGGGAGCACCCTTTGGCCCACATGCAGGTTTGCTGTTGTTAAGAATAAGGACAGCAAACGGTGCCAAGAATTAAAACTTGGGAGAGTCATTGTGGAACTCTGTCTTCATCTTTGAAGTATCAGGTATAGCAGCCTTGAGCCTCATTCCCATGTGGAACAGTGGCTGTACACTCATACCCCTCATGTTCACAACACTTGCACTTACACCACTCACATTGCTCACACCACTCACACACTGTTCACACCACTCATTCACACTGCTCACACTGCACACCACTCACATTCACACTGCTCACACAGCTCACATTGCTCACACCACTCACATTCACACTGCTCACACAGCTCACATTGCTCACACCACTCACATTCATACTGCTCACACTGCTCACACTCACACCACTCACATACTGCTCACACCACTCACATACTGCTCACACCACTCACACTGTTCACACCACTCAAATTGCTCAGACTGCTCACATTCATATTGCTCACACCACTCATGCTCATGTTCACACCACTTAACATGGCTCACACCACTCATGCTCATGCTCACACTACTCACTGCTCACTCACACTGCCCACACTGCTCACACTCATACTGCTCACACTGGCTTCACACATCTTCATGTACATGGCAGAACCCTCCTGTTAGCCATGGGTGGCCATATTCTCAGCTTTTTTTTTTTTTTTTTTTTTTCCTTTTTGTCTTTTTTTACTGACCGGTAATGTGATTGCAACCCTCGGTGTTGCGCCCGTACCACGCTCAGCCAGTGAGCAGGAACCCATCTCCACATGGGATCTGAACCCTCGGCGGGAGCGCCGCCACACTCCCAAGCGGCGCACTCTCCAGTGCGCCACCAGGCCGGCCCTCAGCTTTTTGTTAAAGTGTTTTCCATAAATGCTGTGGAATCAGAATGAGGTTTAAAAAAAAAAACACTGGGTGAGAATTGCATTTTCCCCAATAAGTCCTATGGCTCAAGCTTTGCAGGCAGGTCCTTGTGACTAATCTGCTGCCCCTTCATTTGTTCATCACAGCTCTTGAGGGAGGTCTCTGGCAGACCTCGTTCAGAAAGTCCAGCGGCTTGGTGGAGGGGAAATGGAGCTCCCTAGGTGTGTTAGGAGCAGGTCATTCCATCTAGGGTACTGTTGCCTCACCTACAAAGGCAGTTTCATAGTCCTGTGACATAGGAAAAAATGCTCCAACCTGGAGCCCATGACTGTAACTGGGATATCGAGAAAGCATGCACATTTATGAAATTAGAGGGAGTCTGCCCGTCATGATTTATTCATTAAAAATATATGAAGCCTAGGGCCGGCCCGGTGGCGCACTGCTACAGTGCGCCGCTTGGGAGCGCGGTGGCGCTCCCGCCGAGGGTTCGGATCCCACATACAGACCGGTTCCCGCTCACTGGCTGAGCGAGGTGCGGGCGCAGCACCGAGGTTTGCAATCCCGTTGCCGGTCCCGGTCCAGTGCGGGCGCGACACTGAGGGTTGCGATCCGTTGCCGGACACGAAAAAAGACAAAAAGGAAAAAAAAAATATATATGAAGCCTGCCAGAGCAGGCTTGGCCCAAGCACTGGGGACACAAAAGGGAATTAGACCTAACCTTTCCCTTCAAGGGTGCAGTCCAGCAAAAGAACCAAACCAGACCAATACTTTGAATATATGCAATGGGTTCTGCAGGAAACAGGCAGGGAAGAAAACTTCGTAGGGGTGCTGGCATTTGAGCTGGACCTAAAAATCTCATAGTAAAACTACCTGACCAGTGGAGGCAAGCCCAGCCAGGGCAGGGCCTGAGGAAGGCCAGGAACAGGAGAGCACATGCCTACTGTGGCTGCAGTGGGGGTGTGGGGACATCACAGAAGGTGAGGCCAGAGAGATGATGCGGACCCGACTTTGCAGGGCCGTGCATGGCTTGTGTGCCATGCTGAGGTGCTTAGATGTTGGCACGTGGTCAGTGGGGAGCCATTTAAGATCTCTAAAGAAAGGAGCCACATAGAGGAGGTATGTTTTTGTAAAATATTATCATCAGCTTTATTGAGACATGATTCACATACAATTCACCCATTTAAAATGTACAATTCAGTGTTTTTTAGTATATTCTCAAAGCTGTGCAACTATCACTACACTCAGTTTTAGAACATTTTCATCACCTTAGAAAGAAACCTCGTACCCTTTAGCGGTCACTCCCCATTCCCCCATTCAGACAACTACTAATTTTTTTTTTTTTTTTTTTTTTTTTTTTTTTTTTTTTTTTTTTTTTTTTTTTCCG